AAGCTATCGCCAGCCACTGCAGCAGGAGTTCGATCCCCCGCCAGGAAGTTACCCACAGGGTGCAGCAGACTCTCCTGTCTCCCTGCTGCTCCTCTCAGCAGTGGATTTCAGTGGATCTGCCTGTTCTGTTCCCCACTCTGTCTCTGGTGAATCCTCTCACCTCCCACACCTCTGGCCTGTACCCCAGTTCTTGTATGCATAAATAAATCAATCTCTAAAGAAAAGTAAAGAAATGCACGAACCTCGCCAGCTCATGGATCCCTCTGCGGCACGGTGGAAACGGAGCGTGTGGACTTGTAGGGGCTCAACAGTGGCCCAAAAAGACACATCCAAGCTCTGACGCCAGGATCGGTGAATGTGACCTTACTGGGGAGTAGGGTTCTTGGTTAAGGCCCTCCCGCGACTCAAACAATAAATCTGAAGTAGAAATCAAGAAAACCATCCTTTTTATTATTGAAACAAAAAAAAAATCAAATACTTGGGAATAAACCTAACCAAAGAGGTAAAGGACCTATACAAAGAAAACTACAAAACACTGTTAAAAGAAATAAAAGAAGACACAAAGGAATGGAAAGACATCCCCTGCTCATGGACTGGAAGAATCAACATTATTAAAATGGCCATCCTACCAAGAGCAATCTACAGATTCAATGCTATTCCAGTCAAAATTTCAATGGCATTCTTCAAAGAAATAGAACAAGTATTGATGAAATTCATAAAGAGCCATCAAAAACACAGAATAGCCAAAGCTCTCCTGAAAAAAAAAAGAAGGGAATGGAGGCATCACATGCCCAGACTTCAAACTATACTACAAAGCCATAATCATCAAAACCGCATGGTACTGGCACAAGAACAGACACATGGACAAATGGGACCGAATAGAAAACCCAGAAATAAACCCGCAGATTTACAGTCAACTAATCTTTGACAAAGGAGCAAAGAATATGCAATGAGCAAAGAAAGTTTGTTCAATAAATCATGCTGGGGGGTCTCCCCCGTGGCGCAGCGGTTGAGCGCTGGGTTGCGAAGCTGCCCGCGGCCTCTGCGGCGCCGGTTCGATCCCCGGCTGCTCCCCAGCCACCGGAGGAGGGAGGAGGGTCCCACATGGCCCGCAGACCTCTCCTGCCGCCCGCTGCTCCCCTCAGCAGTGTCCTTCGGTCCTTCTGCCTGCTCTGCTCCCCGCTCTGGCTCTGGTGAATCCTCTCACCCTCCCGCGCTTCTGACTGTGCCCAGTGCTTGTGTAATTAAATAAATAAATCAATCTTTATATCTCTCTCTATATAAAGCGTTGGCCCCAGTGAGGAACAGCCTACAGAAATATGCCAAGAGCCGGAGACCACCCATGTCCACTCAGGCAGTCGGCCGCGACGCTCCCTGGATGCCACACATCAGAAAGAAGAAACTGGAAACTTCCAGAGCAAAACCTCACAGCTGGCAGGAACTCAGCAAGGGCCGCGTTGAAACTGACCCAGATGTTTGTAGGGTTACGGTGAACACACCCCTGGCCCCAGCGCCCCGACTTGCCGCCTGGCTCCCAGGGCCTCCAAGGTGCTGGGGCTGGAAGCCGCTCCTCGCGCTCCTCCCCCGGGCGGGCGGGCGGCGCAGGTCCTCCCCGCAGGTCCTCCCCGCAGGTCCTCCCGGCAGACCAGACGGCTGGGCTGGGCTGCGGCCCCGCCCGCCACGCGGCCCCCCCTCCCCGGGACCCTCCCGCCCGCAGCGCTGCACACAACGTCCGCGCTCACCAGGGTCCCCAGGCTCTGTCCCGCACGTCCAAGGAACGTGACCCGAGGACGCGAGCACAGGGCCGGAGAGGCGGGTCCGCAGGCAGGCGCGGGGCCGGGGCGGCCTCCAGGACGCAGGCGGCGGGGCGGGCGGGACCCTGTCCTGAGGGCGAGGGCCGCGGCGCTCGGGACGGCCCCGCAGCGGGAGAGACTCTCCTTTGGCTCCACAGCAGGACGCGCTGCCGCGGGAGCAGCGGCGGGCGGAGCCGTCGGGAGCGAGAGCCGAGTCGTCGGGCGGCTAAGCCAGGGCTCGCCCTGGGCCTGGCCGGACGGCGCGGAGGACTGAGGGGAGCGGAGGACTGAGGGGAGCGGCTCCGCGGCAGGGAGGACAAAGGCGTCCTGCGGAGCCGACCCCACCCCGGCCAGGCCGCCCCCCCCCAGGGAGTCCAGGCCGCCCCCCTCCAGAGCCCCCGGGAGTCCAGGCCCCCCCCTCCAGAGCCCCCGGGAGTCCAGGCCCCCCCCTCCAGAGCCCCCGGGAGTCCAGGCCGCCCCCCTCCAGAGCCCCCGGGAGTCCAGGCCGCCCCCCTCCAGAGCCCCCGGGAGTCCAGGCCGCCCCCCTCCAGAGCCCCCGGGAGTCCAGGCCCCCCCCTCCAGAGCCCCCGGGAGTCCAGGCCCCCACCTCCAGAGCCCCCCGGAGTCCAGGCCGCCCCCCTCCAGAGCCCCCCGGAGTCCAGGCCCCCCCCTCCAGAGCCCCCGGGAGTCCAGGCCCCCCCCTCCAGAGCCCCCGGGAGTCCAGGCCGCCCCCCTCCAGAGCCCCCGGGAGTCCAGGCCGCCCCCCTCCAGAGCCCCCGGGAGTCCAGGCCCCCCCCTCCAGAGCCCCCGGGAGTCCAGGCCCCCACCTCCAGAGCCCCCCGGAGTCCAGGCCGCCCCCCTCCAGAGCCCCCCGGAGTCCAGGCCCCCCCCTCCAGAGCCCCCGGGAGTCCAGGCCCCCCCCTCCAGAGCCCCCGGGAGTCCAGGCCGCCCCCCTCCAGAGCCCCCGGGAGTCCAGGCCGCCCCCCTCCAGAGCCCCCGGGAGTCCAGGCCCCCCCCTCCAGAGCCCCCGGGAGTCCAGGCCGCCCCCCTCCAGAGCCCTTGCTAACACCCGAAATTGATTCAACCCACGCAGGAGCTGCCCTCAGGGCATCAAGGGCTGGTCCTGGTGAGAACCTCTCCACAGTGGCACGTGCGCACACCCCCCACGCACCCCCACACATTCCACACGCACACACCCCACACACCCCACACACACTCCATGCACACACTCCACACACACGCACCACACACACTCCACACACACACCCCACACACCCCACACACACTCCACGCACACACTCCACGCACACACGCCACACACACGCCACACACACACACCACACACACACGCCACACACACACTCCACACACACGCACCACACACACACCCCACACACACCCCACACACACACTCCACACTCCACAGACTCCACACACTCCACACACACTCCACACACACACACTCCACACACACACCCCACACACACTCCACGCACACACTCCACACACACACACTCCACACACACGCACCACACACACACCCCACACACGCGCCACACACACCCCACACACCCCACACACACTCCACGCACACACTCCACACACACACACTCCACACACACACCCCCCACACACACTCCACACACACGCGCCACACACACATGCCACACACACGCCACACACACACTCCACACACACACCCCACACACACTCCACACACACGCGCCACACACACACGCCACACACACGCCACACACACACCACACACACTCCACGCACACACTCCACACACACGCGCCACACACACTCCACGCACACACCCCCCACACACACCCCACACACACTCCACACACACGCGCCACACACACACGCCACACACACGCCACACACACACTCCACACACCCCACACACACGCGCCACACACACACTCCACACTCCACAGACTCCACACACACTCCACACACACTCTACACACACCCCACACACACCACACACACGCCACACACACACTCCACACACACACTCCACACACCCCACACACACGCGCCACACACCCCCCCCACACACACACTCCACACTCCACAGACTCCAGACTCCACACACACTCCACACACACGCACTCCACACACTCTACACACACACTCCACACACGCCACACACACACACTCCACACACACACCCCACACACACACTCCACACACATACTCCACATAACACACCCCCCACACACACTCCACACACACTCCACACACCACACACACACTCCACACACACACTCCACACACACTCCACACACACACACTCCACACACACACTCCACACACACACTCCACACACACTCCACACACACACACACTCCACACACGCACAAGCACACCCTTCATGAAGGAGGCAGCACACATTGAAAGCCGTGGTCGTCCTAAGCTCGGGGCGGCTTCCACTTTCCTCAGCTCATTTGCGAGCACCGGGGCGGCTGCCTCCGGGGGTGCGCTCTCCCCTCTCGCCTTTGGGGGGGTTGGGCCGCCGCGCCCCGACGCCGCACCCCAACCTTCGTCTCCCGCGCCTCCCCAGCCCCGGGCCGTTTTGCTCCCGCGCAAGCCCGAGGCCCGCCCGGGCCGAGGACACGCCGCCCCGGGCCAGAGCGCGGGCGGCGGCCGGCGCGCCCCAGCAGAGGCCCTGGGAGACCCCGGCGGGAAGCGGCCGCGGGGTCGCCCCCCGCCCCCGCCCCGCCCCGCCGCCCCGCCGCCCCGCCGCCCCGCCGCGCCGCGCCGGCCGGAACAATGGCCACCGGCCCGGGGAGCGGAGTCCGCGCAGGCCGGGCGCGCCCCGGGGCAGAGTGGGGTCGGAGCGGCCCGGGGCCCGCATCCCCGGCGCCCCCCCTCCCGCGGGCTCCCGCCGGCGCCCGGGCCCGCCCCCGGCTCCCCGCGCCACCCGGCCCCCGCCCCGGGAGCCCGCGGGAACAATGCGCGCGCGGCCCGCCCCGCCCCGGCCCGCCCCGCCCCGCCCCCGGGCGCGCATTGGCCCGGCGCGGCCCGCCCCCGGGCGCTCATTGGCCGGGCCGCGCGGGGCGGCGGGGGCGGGCCGGGGGCGGGGCCGGGGCGCGGCGGCGCGCGTGCGCGGGGCGGGCCGCGGCGGGCGGGGGCGGCGCTTTGTGTCGGCGGGCGCGGGCGGCGGCGGGCGCGGGCGCCGGGCCGGGCGGGCGGGGAGCCGGGCCGGGCAGCATGGAGGAGCTGAGCAGCGTGGGCGAGCAGGTCTTCGCCGCCGAGTGCATCCTGAGCAAGCGGCTGCGCAAGGTGCGTGCGCCCCGGCCCGCCCGCCCGCGCCCGCGCGCCGCGGCTCACGCCTCTCTCTCCCGCAGGGCAAGCTGGAGTACCTGGTCAAGTGGCGCGGCTGGTCCTCCAAGTGAGTCCCCGCCCGCCCGCCCGCCCCGGCCCCGGCCCCCGCCCCCGCCCCCGCCCCGGCCCCGGGAGGCGCGTCGGGCCGGGCGGCGCTGCCGGGCGGGAAGTTGGCGGGTCCCGGGGGTCCGCGCGCGGCCGCCCTTTGTTTACGAGCCCGCGGGGCGCCCCCGCCCCCCGCCCCCGGCCGGTCCCCCGCCCCGCGCTCCCCCGCGCCCCGCCCCGCCCCGGGTAACCTGAGATTCCCGCCTCATCCCGGGGCCGGGGGCGCCGCCCGCCTCCCCCCCCCCCCCCCCCCGCCCCGCGCGGCCCGGACCCCCCTCGCCGCCCGCGCCCCGCGCTCCCCTCCCGGGGCCGGGGCGGCCACATTGTTCTGCCTCCGGCTCCCCGGGCCCCCGCCCGCGCCCCGGACGAGCCTCCCTCGCCCGCTGGAACGCGGCCAGGCGGGGGCGTCCCCGGCGACTCCCCTTCCCCCGGGTTTGTTCAGCCCGGGGAGACGGCCGCCCCCCCCCTCCCCGCGGCAGCTGGGGTGGAGGTGCTGCTCTTTCTGCGACTCGGAGAATAGGGCGCTGCATTCAGGGCCCCCCCATGCGGGGAGCTCACCCCGGTGTGGGGGGACCTGTTGGATTCTGCAGCAGCACCCCAGGGCCGTGCCGCCCGCGGGTCAGAGCCCAGGGGGACCCGGGAAGCGGCCCCAGGCTGCCTGAGGCTCTGAACACCCTGCTCCTTGCTTTCCAGACACAACAGCTGGGAGCCGGAGGAGAACATCCTGGACCCGAGGCTGCTCCTGGCCTTCCAGAAGAAGTGAGCGTGAACAGCGCGGGGAGGGGAGGGCAGGCGGCCACTTGGCCCTGCAGGCCGGTGCTTCTGGGCTTGAGCCGGGGTCCCAGGCCACTCTGCGGCCGCCACCAGGTCCCACGCGCAGTCTCCATGGCGATACGTAAAGGTGGAGCAGGCCTCGGGATTCCGGATGAGCCCCTCCCCAGCGGCCCTCTCCAGCCCAGACCTGAGGAAGTGCTGCTTCGGCCCTGCCCACGGCGCACTGGCGGGCCGGCCTTCCTTCCGGAAAGGCCCTGGGCTCCCAGCTGCCTGAGCAGGCCCACATGGGGCGGGGGCCCAGAGAGGGCGCTGGGACACACAGCACGACTGGCTTGGCTGTGCTTGGGACAGGCTGTGAGACAGGGCGCCCCGGGGAGACCCTGGGGACCCCTGGCCGTCCCAGGGGCCGGATTTGCTTCTGTAATTCTAGATGTTGTTCCTGGTTTCAGGTGGGCGACTCCGACCAAGAGAGAGGCCTTCGGGAACTGCTCGGGGCCGGGGGTGTTGGAGGGAGGCCAGGAGCTTGCTGGGGGCAGGGGCTTAAGACCAGGGTGCCCTGTGGAGGGGGCAGGTGACCGAGCTGCCCTGGATCTTTCCCAGCTTGTTCTCTGGCTGCTCGAGCTCTGCCCCCTCTTTTTGCTGTAATAGGACATCCTGGGTGTCCTCAGAAGGCCCTGGGGAGAAGCAGAGAGAGACCTGGCTGAGATTGGGGCGCCATGTCCCCCACTCACACTTGGTTGTAGCCGCACAGCAGACAACGAGTGGAGCCACCCAGGACCGCGGGGCTGGCGTGGAGCAGAGGCGGGGGTGCGCACCCTCTGCGCCCACACCATGACCCCTCCGGCAATAGGAGCTGGCCCTTGCTCGGGCTGGGGGCGCTGCGTTTGGGGTCTGTGGGTGCCCGTGTCAGAAAGGAGCTGCGCTGTCCAGTGGGCACTGCCTCCGAGCGGCCAGTCTCCTGCAGAGAGTGGCGGGGATTGACCCAGGGTTGTTGTCCGTGGGTTTGGTGAGAGGAAACTGTTCATTTCCCGGCTTTGCTGGGATCGCCGCTTGCCGGCACCCCTATGCCAATAAAGCAGGTGGAGGTGAAAATCAAACCGACCGGTGTTGGGGGGCGGGGGCTCTGGACGGAGTCTGCCCGGGAGGTGTCCTTCACCAGGGCGTGCTCAGCGTCCACCGGCCCGAATGTCAGGGGCCTTGGGCTCCCTGTGGGGAGGGGGCCTGCGTGGCACCCGCCCTCACAGCTGCTGTCTGCAGGGAGCAGGAGAAGGAGGCTCACAACCGCAAGAGGGGCAAGCGGCCGCGGGGCCGGCCGAGGAAGCACGCGGTGACCTCCTGCAGCCGGCACTCCAAGCTCAAGGTGGGTGACCAGTGCCCCCCGCGCGGCCACTGTGGGCTGGGGTTCCAGCCCGCGCCGGCAGTGTGGAGGAGGGGGGAGGCTCGGGGCTTTGGGGAATGGGGCTGGCAGGGTTTCCCCTGGCCTGGGAGACCCGGGCCCGCCCCGGAGCAGGGCCCCTCGCCCGCTGACCACGACCCTGTCTTCCTCCCGGTGACTCCTGGGAGAGCGCGGAGAGCGGGACGCTCGCAGACGGTGGGTGCTGGGGGCGGCTACTGGCCTGGCTGACGTGGGTGTGGAGGGTGGGGGAGGGGCCGTGAGCCTGTGCCATCCGGGACCGAGCCGCAGAGGCTGGCGAGAGGGGCTTCGCTGCGCCCAGGGGCACGCACGCCCGGGTCTGTGGGCCCTGCTCCTCCGGCAGCTCTGAGGACGGTGGCGCATCCAGGCCATAGAGTGGGGCGTGTGTCTAGTCCTTCCTCGGGGTCGCTGCCCTAGGGCCCTGGAGCCAGACGCTGGTGGCCAAGAGCCTGGTCACTCCTCACCAAGCCGCCCCGGAGGTTGTGAGCCGCACTGTCCCGGCTACCCTGCCCTCCTTATCTTCGAGACCTTCCTTTGGAGCAGGATGCCGGGCCCGGACCGCCTGGGGACCCCGGATTGTCTGGGGAGATGCAGTGTTCATGTTGAGAGGTGGCGCTGGCCGGCCAGGGTGGCCAGCGTGGGGGGCCACGGACCTGACGTTGGGGCTGGCTGACCTGGAAACCTGAGAGCTTTCCAGGTTGCAGGGGCCCCCAGTGCAGGCCTTGGAGCTTCGCCCCAGGGACCCAGCTCTGTCTCCCTGAGCACCTGTGAAAATGCTGGTCCTACAGGCGGAGGGCCTGAGGCTGGAGGGTGCGCCTGCCCCCGCGGTGGGTGGCCAGGGCTGCGCTGGGTGCTGGCAGCTCCTGTGGCCAGGCCTGAAGACGGGCAGGTGGGAAGCAGGGGTCTGCTTGCTGGGGTCTCAGAGGTTGTGCTCGCTGCCTCTCAACCCTCGGGCACCCCACCCTCGCTCTCCGCGGCTGCCCCCCTCGGGCAGTGCTGGAGAGCTGGGGTGACCCTGGAAGCTGACAGCGCCGGGGTCATGTAGGTGGGCCTTGACCCCCGGCTCGCCATCTCCGTCCCATGTCCAGCTCTCCTCCTGGCGGCTCTGAGGACTGGCTGGGCCCGCGCTCCTGGCCGGAGCCACGGCAGCCCCGGCTTCCGGGGGCCGTGCTGACACACACCTCCCTTGTCCCCCAGGAACCCGACGCCCCCTCCAAATCCAAGTCCAGCAGCTCCTCCTCCTCTACCACCTCTTCCTCCTCGTCCTCAGATGAAGAGGACGACAGCGACTTAGACGCCAAGCGGGGCCCCCGGGGCCGCGAGACCCACCCCGTGCCCCAGAAGAAGGCCCAGATCCTGGTGGCCAAGCCCGAGCTGAAAGACCCCGCCCGGAAGAAGCGGGGCCGCAAGCCCCTGCCCCCGGAGCAGAAGGCGGCCCGGCGGCCGGTGAGCCTGGCCAAGGTGCTGAAGACCGCCCGCAAGGACCTGGGCACGCCGGCGGGCAAGCTGCCCCCTCCTCTCAGCTCGCCCGTGGCCGGCCTGGCTGCCCTGAAGGCCCACGCCAAAGAGGCCTGTGGCGGCCCCAGTGCCATGGCCACCCCGGAGAACCTGGCCAGCCTGATGAAGGGCATGGCCGGCAGCCCCAGCCGGGGCGGCATCAGCTGGCAGAGCTCCATCGTGCACTACATGAACCGCATGAGCCAGAGCCAGGCCCAGGCCGCCAGCAGGCTGGCCCTCAAGGCCCAGACCGCCAGCAAGTGCGGCCTGGGGCTGGACCTCAAGGTGAGGACGCAGAAGGGGGAGCTAGGGGTCAGCGCGCCAGGAAGCAAAGTCCTAAAGGCCCCCAGCAGCGGGGCTGTGGAGCAGAAGTCAGGGAGCACAGGGGGACCCCCCCACCTCCACAGCGGCAGCAAAGTCCCTGCGGGGTGCCTGGGCCCCCAGCCTGCACCTCCCCAGGAGCTCAGCCTCCAGGTCTTGGACTTACAGAGCGTGAAGAACGGCACGCCGGGGGTGGGCACAGTGGCCCGCCACGCCGCGGCCACCAAGGGCATCCCTGCCACCGGCCCGGCCAGCGGGAAGGGCGCCGGGGCTGGCCTCACCCTGGGGAGCGGGGGCAGCGCGCCCCCCAACAGCAGCAAGAGCGAGAAGCAGGCCTGCAGGACGGCCGCTCCGCCCACCCCGGCGGCCAAGAGGGACTGTGCCAAGGGCGGCTCGGCCCCCGGTGGGCAGGAGGGCCACCCGGCCCCGGGGGAAGCCCGCAAGGCGGCCGCGCTGTCCGAGATGAGCACGGGCGAGGAGAACAGCAGCTCCGACTCGGACCCCGACGCGGCCTCGCCCCCCGGCGCCCAGCGCAACCTCTCGGTGTCCGTCCAGACCAGCCAGGACTGGAAGCCGCCCCGCAGCCTCATCGAGCACGTCTTCGTCACCGACGTCACCGCCAACCTCATCACGGTCACCGTGAAGGAGTCCCCCACCAGCGTGGGCTTCTTCAACCTGAGACATTACTGAGGCCCGCGGCCACCGCGCCCTGCCGCCCGGGGCCTCTCCAGGCCGCGGGGCCCTGCGGAGGCCGGCTTGGCGGCCGCTCCCCAAGCCCGCCCGCCCGCGCCCGGCGGGCACCGTGCCTTGAGGCCGCGCCCGGGCCGGCCTCGCCCCGTTCCTACCTCTCTGGGCGTTCGCTCTGCTCCCCGTCTCGCCTCAGGAAATCTGTGGGGACACCTGTGGCTCTGGCGGGAGATCTTGAAACAGGTTTCTTAAGCAAGTGCTGTGTTTGAGCCGCCTTTCCTGGCAGGTGCTGACAAGTGGTGGTCGTCCACCCAGGGCACGGGAGGGGCTGCAGCATCCCCCCAGTTTCCCAGAGCACAGAGCGGGGGCTTCTGTCTAGCAGTGGGAAAGAAACCGGGGTGCAACCTTGAGGGATTGCTCTAGGGAGGCTGCAATTCAGTCTTTAGAAAACGGGGCAGGGAAAGGGCCCTGCTGGTCAGAACCCCGCCCCCTTCAGAAGTGCGCCCTCAAGCAAGAGGGGAGCACGCAGTCCCGACTCCCACCAACAGCTGAGTGCCGTGGCCTTAACAAGAGGAGGGGTGCTGACATGGGGGGACCCTAGAGGTTGGTTCCCATGACCTCTGTCTGTAGTTCATTAACATCTGCAGCCCCCAAATGTTGAGCCGGAAGTCCAGCAGCTTGGGCAGGACAGTCCCCAGGGCCCTTGGGCCTGGTGCACCTCTGTAGCAAGTGGGGAGAGCGGACGAGCTGGCCTTGCTGCTGGCCTGTGCAGAGTGCACTGGCCCCACACACTGCCCCACCCCCGGCCCTGGAAGGTGGGGTCTGGACGGTTGCTGGTGGGGGATCCACTCGCCCGCCTGGTAACTGCTGGCTGTGCCGCAAGCCCCCCAGGTGGGTGGGCACCTGACAATCCCCCCACCTTCAGGGTTCCACATTCCTGGCTGAGAAGCGGTGTCCCCAGCTCCATTGGGAAGTGGGATAAATCTGGGTGCCCAGGTGGCTGAGCGTGAGAAATGCCGAGGGCCTCAGTCCCTGGGGTCCGCCTGGGGGGAGAGGCGGCCGGTGAGCCAGCCGGGGCCATAGCAGGCCCCTGGGTCCTTGATACCAAGTTCCTCTTGGATTACTGGGTAAAAGGCAGCAGGTGTGGCTCCTTGTCCCCAGAGCCTCAACAGAGGGGAGCCTGGACCAAGTGTGGGCTCTGGTTTCGAGAGCGGCCCTGCAGGCCCTGACTCACCCCTACCCCGGGCCCTCACCCTCCACGCCAAATCTGAAGAGACAGCTTTTGTTAAGCCAAATCGATCCCAACAGTGTGCCTTTGGGGACAAACCTGCACCCAGGAGCCCGAGACATCTGGGTGCTGCCTCCCACGGGTGTGAGAATCACCCCTTCTGCACCCAGAGGGGCGAGACCAGCTCACTGCTCAGCTGGAGAGGAAGGGTCCCCAGACATCCGAGTGTGACAAGAGGCTCCTCGGGTCTGAGCCCTGTGCCCCCATGGGTGCTGACCCCCCTCCAAGTTCTCAGCTCCCTCCTAGGCACTCAGCTGCCTTAGGGCCTGCAAAGCTAAGCCAGCAGCACCCCTCCTGCCCAGCCCCAGGGCAGCGGGCTGCCAGACAACCCTGTCCGTGACCCCACAGCCCCCCATCCCCCCGCCCGTGCCTTTGTTTACCGGCTACTTCGATCCCAAAGCGACTGCTCTCCTGCCGTGGGGTGTCTGGGTGCTGTGCCCCCAGCTGTCAGGGTAAGGGTGTGCGGGCGTGACAGCCTCTGCGGAGCAGGTGTTCACCGGTCATCATGCTGACCACTACGGAAAAGTGGGCATTTGTATTTGCTGCTACCTGTGCGTGTGGGTGTCGTGCTCGGCACCTGCCACTTGCCTGGGTGACCCAGCTCGCTCCGCAGGACCCCTGCGCCCCCAGCGGGTCCTCTGCCTCCAGACTGGGTGGGGAGAAGTGGCTGGCTGCCCCGCACCTGCAGGGCTGACATATTTTTATATATATATTTTTTGGTACCAAAAAGAGTGCGCCTTGCTCTGGCTACACTCAGTCCTGGCCTGCCCGGAGAGGGCTTGGAGCCCGGCACACTCGCGAGGGAGAACTTGGGGGGTGGGGACCAGGGTCTGCACCAGCGTCCCTCACTGGCTTGATTTGTGTTTCTTAATTAAAAGAAAAAAGCCAAATCTTTGTGGATGACACTCCTAACTGCTTTAAACTGTGGCTGCTTGTTTGCTTTCTTACAAGAGAAAACAAAAGTGGTTATTGCCTTGGCGGGCTGGAGAGCCTTGTTGGAACCAGACGGCCTCCCAGCCCCGCCCCCCTGTTCTCAATCAGGACCAACCATGGGAGACACTTCCCCCAGGAAGCCCACCGCGGTTTGGGCCAAGGGGTGGGGGAGGGGAAAGTAGTGCCTAGACCCTGTTCATGTCCAAGTTGATCTAAAGATTCTGTGGATTTACTAGTATTTTTGGAAAACTAACACTAGCATAGGTTGCAGGGGGGTTTAGACCCATGTTAATTTATTTTGCAGGGGAAAGGCCTTAGCAAATGGCGTCTGAAGACGGTCGTCTTTCTGTTAACTCAGTCTATCAATAAATACCTTACCTGCCAGCAGGCGGATGTGGGTGAGTCGTGTCTCTTCTTTCCCTTCTTGACTCAAAATACTTCTCTGGACACAGCCTGGCCTGGAGGGAGGCATGAAAAAGCAATCAAAGTCTTTGGGGAAAGCTTAGCCACTTTCTTGGGGTGCAGGAAAAGCTGCTTTCCCAGGCGAAGGGTAGAGAGGGCTGAGAGGAGCCCCCAGGCAGCAGGCTGGAGGGGGCCACCCAGAACCCCAGGGGGCCCTTGACCATGAGCAGCTGTGCCTGGGGTTGGGGGGGGGGCTCGGGGTTGAATGCTGCTGTTGGCATCAGAGAGAGTAGGAGCCAGGGAGCACACTGGCATTTTAGGGTTCAAGCAAACCCACCCTTCCCTCCAGTGGCCGCCCCACAGCTGCTGGAAGCTGCTCTGCACCCAGTCCACCCAGCTACAAAGTCCTGGGGTGTTGCCGGGAAGCCCAAGAGGCTTCCAGTCTACAGAGGTCCTGGCACCCTCCCCCAGGAGCCCCTCACCCCTGAAATGAAAAAATAACACGCTTGTTCTTGACCTTTCTGGTGCTTTTTGGGGAGTTCCCCCCCCCACCCCATGGATTTATTCATGAATTTCGGCCTCAGGAAAGTGCAGCTCCCTTTGAAGGGAAGATGGAGGTTTGGCCCAGCAGGTGCTGGCCCCTGGTTGGCACCTGGAGGCTGGCGGGTTTGGGGGAGCCAGCCCCAGCCCAGCCGGCTCTGGAAGGGGCCTGGGGCTGGGAGTCTGACTCCAGGAGGCGGTGGTGGCCGCTGCTCGAGGGGCGCCGTCCCCTCCCGGGCTGGAGCTGTTTCGTTTTGGAGGAGGTGGGCGAGGACGTCCTAGGGTCCAGTCCTCTCCTTTTGAGGGCCGGCGGAAGGGGGCTGGGGGGCCGGGAAGGGGCAAGGGAGCAGAACAGCAGGCCCTGCGGTCCCCCAGGGGAGCCCGCGCTCGCGGGAGCCCTTTCTGCCGGGCTTGGGTCAGGCTGGCGGGGGCCCGGCCTTTGTTAGCGTCCGCGCTGCCGGCTGCTGGCAGCTCCGCGCCTCCCGGCTGGGCCGGGCCGCCCTGGGACCCACCCAGCTCGAGGGTCCGGCCGCAGCCTCCCCGGGCTCAGCCCGGCGCCAGCGGGTCCAGCCCGAGGGCGCCGCCGCTAAGGGGGGCGGCCGGGCTGGGAGAGCGTGGACCCCGCCCGACACCTCGCGTCTGGCTGACAGCCCCGCGGCTCGCGGTCCGGGCCTCGGGGAGCGCGCAGAGGCGCCGCGGACGGCGGCCCTCCCCGGCGCGCCCGGGTGGGGCGAGGCGTTCCCCGCTCCGTCCCCCCCAGAAGGGCACCGGCCGCCCGAGGGCTGGACGGCGAGAGGGGCCGAGGCCGTCACCCCTAGAGGGCGCGCGCGGCCCGCGGAGTTCGGGCCGTCGGCGCTTGGGGCGCGCGGGAGAAGGGCCCCCCAAGTCCCGCCGCCCCAGGGAAGCCACCCGCGCCCGCCGCCGTCTCTGACGCCGCGGGAGGAGAGCCGCCCCCGCGTCCGGGCCCGGAGGCTGGACGTCCTGGAGCCCCGCCAGCCTCCCTGCGGCTCCGGTCCCCGACTCCAGCTTGGGGTCCCCCTCTGTGCCCAGAGGACTGCTCGGCGAGGAGAGGAAATCACGACAGGAGCCTCGGGGTGTGGGGCGGGCCCGCTCGCCTCCGGGGCGCCAGTGCACCCAGGGTGCTCGCTGCGCACCCGCGGGACCGAAAAATGGATCCATCCCACCTTCTGGGAAGTTCCTAAGATGCCAGTTTAGCCGGCGCTGCGCGGGGCGGCGGGAGCCCGGCCTCTCCGGACACGGCGGAGCCAGCCCCGGGCAGCGGGCGCCCGGCGGGGCCTGCACACCGGGTCGCGCGCCGGCGATGCGGTCGGAGCCAGGCGGTGGTCAGGCAGCCCGCGACCCTGGCATCGCCCGCCCCGCCCAGGCGAGGGCCGCCAGGCTGCCCAGGCGCGGGCGCGGGAGGGGCCGCGACCCCGGCCGCCGACCCCGCCACCAGCCCCCTCCGACGGGGCCGCAGGCCCCGCTCTCCCGAAGGGCACTCCGGTGCCCGGCTCTGCGCCGTCGGGGGTCCTCCCACACCTGTCACGGACTGGGGGGGAGACGCAGGGAGAGGGTCACCCACCCGTCGGGCCAGGGCCGGAGCTGGGGGAGTGCCGGCTGCGCGCCTCCCCTCGGGCTCTGCCGGCGCCCCGATCGGGCTGTCTCCGCGCGCCCGCGTCTGCGGGGCTCCTGGGGTGGACCCGGGGTCAATGCGGCCGCCTCCCGGCCCGAGGCCGCCCCCCGCGCGCCGCCGCCCCCCGCCCCCCGCCCCCGCTGTGCGGCCCGCGGCCAGGACGCGCGGAGAGCCCGCCCCGCCCGAGCTCGGCTCCCGGGACCGCGCGGCCCAGCGCGGGGCCTGCGTCCCTCGAGAAGACCGGCAGGGACGGACGCTTTG